GCTCTTTGGGAACGTGCTGGTGTGCGCGGCCATCGTCCGCTACCGGCACCTGAGGAGCAAGGTCACCAACATCTTCATCGTGTCCCTGGCCATCTCGGACCTGCTGGTGGCTCTGCTAGTCATGCCCTGGAAGGCGGTGGCTGAGGTGGCCGGGTACTGGCCGTTTGGGGCTTTCTGCAATGTCTGGGTGGCCTTCGATATCATGTGCTCCACGGCCTCCATCCTGAACCTGTGTGTGATTAGTGTGGACAGGTACTGGGCTATTTCCAGCCCTTTCCGCTATGAGAGGAAGATGACCCAACGGTTGGCGCTGGTGATGATCAGCGTGGCGTGGGCTTTGTCTGTGCTCATCTCCTTCATTCCTGTCCAGCTCAACTGGCACAAAGGTGAGGATGTTGTCGCTGCTGGTGATACTGGAGATGGATTTGGCGCTGGCTGGGCAGCAGCAGGTGCTGTCACCACCTGGGCGGAAGATATAAGTACCACATGGGTGGCATTAGCAGCAATGAGACCCTCTGATGGGACCTCTGGCAGCAATGATACCCTCACTGGACCATCTGAAAGCTGTGACTCCAGCCTCAACAGGACTTACGCTATTTCCTCCTCCTTGATCAGTTTTTATATCCCAGTGGCTATCATGATAGTTACCTACACTCGAATCTACCGCATTGCCCAGGTGCAGATTCGTCGTATCTCTTCCCTGGAGAGGGCAGCCGAGCATGCGCAGAGCTGCCGGAACAGCCGCATTGACTGCCATCATCACACAAGCCTCAAGTCCTCCATCAGAAAGGAGACCAAGGTGTTGAAGACTCTCTCCGTCATCATGGGCGTCTTTGTCTGCTGTTGGTTGCCGTTCTTCATCTTGAACTGCATGGTTCCCTTCTGCGAGAGCCCACCCGGTGACCCCCGCGCTGGCCTTCCCTGCGTCAGTGAGACCACCTTTAATATCTTTGTTTGGTTTGGTTGGGCCAACTCCTCTCTCAACCCCATCATCTATGCCTTCAATGCTGACTTTAGAAAAGTCTTCTCCAACCTCCTGGGATGCAGTCAGTTTTGCTCTAGTACTCCAGTGGAGACTGTTAATATAAGCAACGAGCTTATCTCTTACAACCAGGACACCCTTTTCCATAAGGAGATTGTGACTGCTTACGTTAACATGATCCCAAATGTGGTTGACTGTGAGGAAAATCGCGAGGACCCTTTTGATAGGATGTCCCAGATCTCCCCTGACCGTGAGATTGCCACTAACTCTGTCTGTGAGCTGGACTGTGAGGGGGAGATTTCACTAGGCAAAATAACACCTTTCACTCCAAATGGTTTACGTTAAATTGCATCCTGTCCTGGTCAGTTCTTCTTGGATTACTCAACAACATATTAGCACTGAGTGGAAGAACCTGCTTGGTTTTATGCTATAGTTTGGTCAGTCACTTCATGCTAAACTCACTTCTACGTGTAGTGTAGCACTTTGCAGGATGTAGATGCTGTCGTACAGGGAGCTGGCAGTAAAACTGAATTCAGCACTTTCCCCGGCTGAGGGAGGACCAGGCAGTCGTGTTGATTAGCTGTGGTGAGGTATTGTGGTATAATTATACAGTCAGTTCATGTTTATAATGTGTTTGCAAATGAAAGGTGCCATTGTCAGTGCTACGTACTACAACTTCTAAAATCAGGGACGTATGTGGCTGGCAGAGACATTAAATAGAAAAAATTCTAAGCTGTTTGTTTGTTCAGATCTTACGTTTCTTTTTCTCTGTTGGGTTTTTTTTTCTTTCTTGTTTTGTTTTGTTTTTTAAGATAGAAATAGTGAGGTGATGATTTGGATGATTATTTAAATGCGTGTTTCTGCCAAAACAGTTTATGTGAAATCCATGTTCTCCTAGGCAGCGTTGTTGCCTATGATATCCTTGCCATGTTCCCAGATGAATAAATAAAAGTTACATTGATCAAGGGGTTATTATCTTTCATTTATCACCCTGAAAGTTTTACAACAAGTATTCGAACTTTTACGTTTTTGTTTGAATGGTTAGAATGACTAACAGCTAAACCCTATCATTTAAAAGGAAAATAGGCTGTATAGAAAACACAGTTTTTGAGTAGAAGCAAGACTCATAGGATTGATTTAAAATGAACTGTTTCGTATGACTCTACTTACAGCTAGATTTATGCCTGTTTTTCTTCTTATTAGTTTAACTGATGCTATCCCCTCTCCACAGCTAAGAATATCAGGTATACATACCTACGAGCTATTACAACTTTCCACTTGAACTTACTTTTGAAAGATACTATTGATGAAGAGTTTGGTGATAGAATTAGGAACTGGATATGTCTGAAAAAAATAATTGTGTTAGAAAATGATAAGAATCAGCAGTTGCCACTGTAGATATGGGAACTCACTGAAACCAAGAGAAGAAAAAAATGCTGTTGATGTATTTTTGAGTTACTTACTTTTTAACCAGAACTTAAACATACTTCAGATGCTTTGACTCGACAAAACATTTTAAAGCAGTCTTTAAAAATTTCAAAATATTTTTTTTGAGCTCTGTTTCTGTTGAAACATTTAAACCAACTGGAATGCATTGTTTAGAAATGTTTGTAAGCTTTCAGCTGAGAAATGAAAAGTGATCTTATTTCCAAGACAAATGATCAAAGGTACTAAAAACAGTACCAATATTTATTTCAAGTTTTGGCTTATGAAACGAATGATGTTTGAATTCATTTACCCTTTAAAAATACCTGTGCCAGGAGCTGAGCAGATTTAAATTGTAGGTGTTGAAGCAGCAGCACTCCCTCCTGGTGGTCCTGACTAGCCTCACCTGGAGCCTCCCTATCCTGCCTGACTGGGGACTGAAGGCCCCTATATGATGCCTGGGAGAAAAGTAGGATTTGCACTAGCCAGCATGGTTCAGAAGTCATTTAAGCAGATGCTGGGATTTGGGAATGTTAAGGACTTAGTATTGAGTCTCTTTGGAAGTCAAGGCCTTAATACTGGTTTGGGGATTGTCTTACCTCCCCTTGGGATATGGGGTGGAAGAAGGACAGGAGGCTTGTGATTGAAAACCCTTTGTGGTCGCCTCTACCACAATACGGTTTTGTCTGCAAGCAATGTTTTTTGTGTGTGTAGTCTCTGATACTAATTTGTTATATTGTCATTTTGGCTTATTTTGTCAACTGCTTGTCACTGAAGATCGACATCTACCTGAGCGTTTTCTTTGCTGTTGGTACGAGATCTGAGTGTAACATCCCTTTACAGCTGTCCTCAGAAAAGAGTATTGTGACTGCGGCTTAGGGAAGCTTGAAAAACAAATGTCATGCCCATAACCAGGTTCAGCGTACTAATGGCTTGACATCAAGGGTGAGTATGTTATCATTCCTCTACTAAAGCAATCATATGTTGCCAGGAGTTAACCATAGTTTTAGCCCTGCTGGTTAGATAAACTTGCCCAGATTAAAATAATTTTCCCAAATAAAAACAACAGAAACGGCTTCTGGTGGTGTAGTGATGAATTATCCCAACCAGAATTTAGATTGTTGCATTTGCTCGTTACTGCTCAAATTTTGAGGCTAGTACAGCATGTAAAACTTCCTGGATCTCTGCAAAAAGCCTGTGATAGTGCAGACACTAGGTGCTGATTCCAGCTCCCAGGGCAATGCCTGTATTCTATCTGATTTTGCCCATATTAAATCAGAAACTGCCAGGGGAAATGGGGAAAGATGGTTTCTTCCTGGGCACCTGTGTGCCAACAGACTGTGCTGTCTGATGCTGCACCTCACACCCTGCTCCAGCAGCAGTACAGAGCCGCAGAACAGTCTCAGTAGTGACAGTTCCCTTAGATCCAGGTCCCTGCAGGTGTGTTGGAGGGGTAGATGTGCACAAGAATATGCTAGTGCATCCCCTTGGCAGGTGTTTTTCTCCTCATCAAGGCTTTACCTGCCTAGGTTTCAGGGGTAAGTGGGTGGGCTAACTTTGGGATTCAAGAAGATGACATCTCCATCAGTGGGTTTATATGACAACTTTGCACAGAATATTAGAGACGGTCTTATCTCGGATCTAAATGAAGGCAATTTTTAGCTTGCCCCCAGAGTTTGGGAGCATGATTAGAACAATACAGAAAACTGGCCTGATTGCCACTTTCCATTACTAATTTTTAGTTTATGACTTCAGCTGATAAATGATTTCTGATGGTGGCTCTACGATATAATCTTTCCCCTTGGCATGTGTACCTGTCAGGGGGCTTTATCCTTTGGAGCCCAGGAGTATCAGAAAGGGAACATTTCTGCTTTGAAAGACAGGGAAAACAAACGTTTTTGCTAGGAGCACAGATTGACTTTAAGGATCTGAAAGAAAACCTTTTTCTTGATTTGTAACATTGGGACGATTTGTTGCTAGTGTATTCAGAATTAGTAAGATAAACTTTTTAAAAAGAAATCTGTTATCTTGCCTTGAACTATAAAAAAGCAGACTTTTAATGAAAACGTCCCCAAAAAGGCTTTTTTAAGCGGGTTTCTCTCAGATGAAACTGCTGCCCTACTTTTTTGATGGTTTTCCTCTTAAGGACTAATGCATCTGCCTAGCTGTAGAGCAGAGTTCACTGGAAGTGCAAGCAGGTTCTTATAATCCTCATATCCTTGTGGTGTCACTCCGGAACTCATCTGTGCCAATGGTTTGTGCCTCCCATCAACATGTTTTCTTCTGAGAAAGTCACCTTGCTCCTGTCGCGCATTCTACTTAAGCATGATCACTTATTGCTAGCTCAGTTTTTTTTTCTTTTTTTTTGTCCTTTATACTTTTAACGATTTGAATGTACAGTGCAGTTTGGCTTTGAGTTGTTTTACTTAATGTAGTTCTGAGTGTTGGCTGACCTTTAAGATCCCCAATTCTTTTCAATTTCTATTTTGTGTTATTGCTTATATATCTTACCTTGTGATATGCGTCACTATTAAATTACCTCTGAGCCAGCCAAATCTTCTATTACGGCTCATTCTGTTAGTCCTGGATAACCCCATACCAAAGGAGGGTCAGTAGATCAGTAGTCTGTATGTTTTCTGTCTGAGTTAACTAATGGCAGAGGAGTTCGTTTTAGTTAAAGAACAGAACATGTGAAGGTATCTTAGTTCATTTTTCAGAAGCTCGGACATAGAGGACATGAAAGTACAGTGTTTTATGTAAAATGCTGCAGACACCATGAAGACTCACTCACTATTCATATTTATGGGTTGTATAGTGTTTCCCTCCCCCCCCCAAGCTAAAGAAATATAGATGACTTTCTCAGAGGTGAACACAAACAAAACGCTTTTCAAAGAGAGAAAAAATACTGCAATATTTTTTGGTAAGTTTTGTACTTTATTCCTTTGCTTTCATTATGTTTGTTACTTTTGCAAGTCACATCTGCTGTGTCTCTGCAGGGAGAGTCCCTACGGAAAACTCGAGTGTTTTTGTGACATATAACAAAAAAAGGCTTCAAAATCAGGAAGGCTTCTTATAAAAGTAACACTAAGGACAATCTTACACCATTTAGGAGTCAATCATGTATAAACTCAGCATTCAAGAGACTGAGAAGACTGGAGGCGGTGTTCAGAACATGCATCAAACTGGAGGTTTGAGAGGTCACAAGTCCTTCAGCTGTTTCTATGTGCCAAAATTGCCGCTCTTGACAAGGAGAGCAATTTCGTCACTGTCACACAGAAGGCAGGGTATACACCTATGTCGGTGTTAATAATTATGCAGAGATTTTTCTTTCCTCTGAGGCCGTCTTCACTACTGTTTAATTGGATTAATTAGATCTTTAAAATTATTCAGTGCCTATTTAAATCAGTAGAAGACCTCAGTGATGAATGTGGGCTTGGGTCACAGAGCAATGAAGTTATTTCTCCTGGCTTCTTATTAATATTACTGCTGGTATTCTCTGCTAGTGGATGGTGACATGTTAAAGTTGGCATGCTGAACAAAATATTTCACCAGCTGATACGCAGAAATAATTATTTTATTCAGATTTACTTATTTGTTTTCAAACTTCGGAAGACTTTTCAGACTTTCTAGGAGCTTCACAAAGTCCACACAAAGAGCATTTCCTCTTTGATCGTATCTCAGGTCAGCAACAACTGGTTGCAATTTTAGTGCACTGGTAACTATATAGTGCGCTATGCTTTTGTGAACAGAATTATACTCCTCTAAGTTTAAGCTGATGTTTTCCGAGATGAGGGTATACTTTTGCTGTAAAAGCACAGATGTGCACAAAAATACCTATAAATGAAGACATTTCCATTAGTAACGGAGACACCCAAGATGTGCCTCTTTCTGCAGCCTTTTATTTATTGTAGCAGTGTAAGACTGCAGTGAGCAATAATGGGATTAGGGGTGTAACGAGTAGAAATACAAATAATATTATCATCTGAAGACAAATGATGGATTGTTTTTTTGGGGAGCCTACCAGCTCTCCCAGGATAGTTTAGTTTAATAGGAAATTTACAAGATGATTTTGTTTTGTTATATGCCTAAATCCATTCTCAGCTCTGACTGGAGATAATGTTCAATAATATTTATAGTGGACAGATAGCTGTTTAAGGAGGATATACATTTTTATGGACTTAATCATTTATATCACAGCCGTCATGGTCACATTTGTGAGGGTTGCAAAATACAATGCATTAATCATAAAAAAATAATTAAAAATTTCAGTTAATGAAAAAATTTCTTCCTGTGATTTATTCCCCACTGTTAACAACAAATACTTATTTGTATGTTGGACTACACTCTCATTGCTACCAGAAGAAGCTGAAATGCTCTGAACCTGCTACTGATAATCTGCTGATTCATGTTAGGAGGAAGGTCTGAAAAATAAGGAAGGAAATGGCAGCAACACGTACAGATAGGTTCAGTTCACATGAAATCGGCCTGGTGTCAGCCAGCCCGTGCAGATGACTGCACAGTGATGAGCCATTCTTGTG